CTACACAACTTATAACAGTTGGCAGATAAATGGACTTTGTTGGGTCCTCAAAAGCCTGCCATCCAAATTAAGCATTGAAGTTCCTGAAATACCCAACATGAAATGGCAACAATAAAAATAACTAACTACTGCAATAAAACTGATTCATACACAACAAAGAATGCAACAAGAGAAGCAATAAAGGCCACATTCTCCATTTCATTTATTTTATGGAATGAATTTCAAGTTAGCAAAATTGTGTAAAAGTTCTATTCTTAAAGCTGCAAGCTAATCATTAAAATCGACAACCTTATTCCTGCTGAATGAACAAACTAAATCTGCCAGAGTTACATGTAAAAATCTTCGAATCAACTCTATCATCAACAGATCACAGGCACATCATTAACAAAAATTATTTACTTTGATTTGTCTGTGAATTACAGGCTTGTTATTTCAACCAAAACCACAGCCTGAGAGCCAAGTGTTTGTTGTTTAGGATGCTGTGGCAGCAGCTGCCGGTCAGCAAGCGGACACAGGGCTAGAGCCAAGCTGTCTGGCCTCTCTGCTCAGTCAAGTCCATCAGCAGAGGCTTCTCTCAGCATCTTCACTACTCCATCAGGCAAAGCTGATCCATTAGCTCCGTCCACTTTATCAGCCAACAGCTGGTAAAGCACGCCTGTGTTCAGTGTTGAAAGACGCACACTATTGTTTTGGTTCCATGTTAATTCAGCCAGTCCAGATCATCATCATCCTCTTCATCACCAAACAGTGGGGCAGGCGGTGGACACCCCTTCAAGCTCTGCACATAAATGAGAGAAATAAAAGCATGAATGATGTCCAGCAGTGTTCTAATAACAGCTTAGGCTTTTTCAAAGCTGTATAAATGATTATGAAAATATCCCAGACTGGCTTAACACTGAGACAAAACACAAAGGCAGGACTAGGGTCAGGGGAGTGAGGCAGAGTACTGAAGCCTGAGAGCTTAGACTGAACTCAACAGATTCTTCCTCACCATCTCATCCTCCTCTTCCTCCTCACTGGGTGCTGCTGGGGGTTTGGCAGGTGTTATGCTCTGGAAAAATGGCTCCTCTCCATTTTCCTCACCAATTCCCCCAGTCAGACTGATGGAATAGTAGAAACAGGTGGGGTGGGGCACACAAAAAGAGAGTGAAGAAGAAAAAGGAAAAGGTAATGGGGACAAAGTCAGCAAGAAACAGTTCAGATGGGCAGTTAGTTCGCAGGGAGACATCAGCAGAGACTTACACACAAATAGGATACAATTAGAGTCAAGCTCATGGACTTGGCTCATTTCTCTTCTCATGGTACTTTTATTTATGGAGTACTTTTAACTTTTGATTTCTATATTTATTCATGTCTTGTTATTGTTGTGTATCAGTCTCATTCACCACGGCAAATTCCTTGTGTTTGACTCAACCTGCAGGATTGCAGGCTAAGCAGATGCCAATCAAATAATATAAAAATGTTATGTGATTTACTGGATTCCAAAAAACACCAAAAGATTTTAGATTTATTTCCTTATTCAACATTTTTTTCAATATTGTTGACAGTTGTTTGGTACTGCAAATGCAAGCAAACCATTTTGCAAAATTTTGTGGTGCATTCAAGACTGCTCTGATAAACAAGTCTTGAGTTAAGTGCTGACATGACATGGTACTGTGTCATACTGTACTGTGTGGATAATGTATATGTGATTTCATACTAAAAAATATTGTGACTGATAAGATTTTCGAAAATGAATGAAATATTCTATTAAAAGTTTGTCACCACTTTCCTGTTACTGCTCTTGTTGGGTAACATCAGCGCTACCAACATTTGATTTTATACATCTTCTGCTGTGAACTGTCAGACTTGTGTATCTTTAATTTATTCAAACTATGTGTAAACATCTAATCTCATCTAGTTCTGGTGGTGACATCACTTCTCAGCTCAGTTGTGGGAGGCTGTGCATCACCTGAAATTTGGAACAATCCAAATGATGCAGCATCATCTCCATCCTACCAGATATTTTAGTGGAATGACTTAAAGCCAGACTAAACATTTTAAACTTTAGGGGAGACAACTTACCTTACGTCCTCTCCTGAACTCTTCTGAAGGGTATTAGGTGGTGGAGGTGGGTTGGCCGGGGGTCCAAAGGCTTCCTGAGGAGCGTCATTTATTACTTCTACAGGCTCTCTATCCCCTGCTCTCTCTGTGTCCACCTCACTGCTCACTGCAGCTTTTGAGTCAGGCAGAGTTTCCTGCCCATCCTCAGGTGGTAAACTCTTTTCAGGTCCATCATCTAGATCTGCAGACCCATTTCCTTCTTCACAGGTTTCAGGAGCAGAGGGTTGCTCCTGGTCCTGCTGTACATCTGACTCTGCTGCTGCTGTCTCTTGCAGTACAGTGGTTGGACCTGAATGAAGATTAGTGGCTTCTGAAGTCTCTGCCTGGCTTTGTGTTGTTGATGAAGCTTCTGTCTCAGTCTCTGTTTCTGTGGCTGCATCCTGACCCCCCTGAATCTCACAGGCATGGAGAGAACCTGAGTCAGCCACATTTTCCTCTTCCTCATTTTCTTCCTGTTTCACATCTCTCTTTCCATTCACATGCACATTCTGATGAGGTTTTTCCTCCTTTTTTTTCACATCTTCACTTTCTTCTGCTTCCTTTTCCTCTTCCTTTTTTGGTCTCAGTAAAGATCTGTCTGTGCCACTGAGTAGCTGCAAAGTTACATTCTGTAAAAAAATAAATAATAACAATAATAAGCACATGATTGCAGAAAAGTCACCAACACATGCACTTGGCAATAGTGTTTCTTTGTGCAAAATCAAGTATCAGCCAGTTAGTGTCATGCACCTCACTTATAGTGTATCCAAAAAAGTTAAGCTTATATATGATTATATATATTACATACAGACTTGGACAAAAGATTGTCAACAGAATTAAAAAAAAGTGGGTGAATGCTTCTGAGCTGAACTCTTGCTTTTTCTACAGAGAGCTCCTTTAATAGTCTGAACAAAGTGACCAATGGTCACTAATCAGTGGATTGTAGCGATAGTTCAACCAGATTATTGTCATTTGTTAATAACACAGTATTTAAAATAGCTGTAAGTAAATTGGATACCAGACATTTTTTGCATTATAATGTCCATTTGCAAACATGTCATCAATCAAATCTTTTTTTAATTTTTTTTATTTCCTGCTTGGCATTTCAGACTGTCACAAATAGGTTGCATTGGCATTTCTGTGTAAAAACACTTACCTTAATGGTAGAGACAATTACCCCTACCACAGCCTGGCCACTGTAAGATTCACTGGGGTCAAACTCCCCTCGCAGAGAGTGAAACACTCCGTTCATCACACGCTTCACCTGCAAGTACACACAGTTGGCCTTATGTTCTTTGCTTGAAAAAGATGATTCATGTTACACTCATGGGCTGCAAGGTGGATTGGTGGTTAGCACCGTCGCCTCTCTATAAGGTCGCCGGTTCGCATCCTGGTGAGGACACCCAGGACCCTTATTAGTAGAGTTTGCATGTTCTCTCTGTGCAGCGTGGGTTCTCTCTGGGTTCTCCAGCTTCCTCTCACAAGTTCAAAAACATGTTGAGGTTAATTGGTGATTCTAAATTGTCCGTAGGTGTGAATGTGAGTGTGCTTGGTTGTCTGTCTCTAAGTGTAGCCCTGTGATAGACTGGTGACCTGTCCAGGTGAACCTGCCTTCATCTTGAATCAGCTGGGATAGGCTCCAGCCCCCTACGACCCTAGTAAGGATTAAGTGGTGTATAGATAATGGCTGGGTGTTACATTTATGCAATGGCCTACAACCTTTGTCAGCAAAACAGACTTTAACATATATCGGCAATGAAACTTAAGCAAAAGTTGCACTTTGAGCTAGCTGCATTGTGAGCTAGAATATTATATTAATAACAATAATAATTATTATTATTATTTGTATTATCATTTATTAATCAGCTAATAACATGGTGCCTCTTTATAATAATTAGGAAAAAATAAGGTAAGAATGAAATGTATAACACAATACCTTTTAAATTGCAACACTTGTAAAATACTAATGCAGTGCAAAACATCCATCCATCCATTATCTATACACCACTTAATCCCCACTGGGGTCGTGGGGGGCTGGAGTCTATCCCAGCTGACTCAGGGCGAAAGCAGGGGACACCCTGGACAGGTCTCCAGTCTATCACAGGGCTACATTCACTAGCTCCACCCACAGTCACCTGAAGCTGTCTCACCCCAGCACTGCTTCTCACATTAGGAACATCCCAATAATCAGCACTATAAAATATTTATGGCCCAATACATCCTCTAATCATAGAAATATTAATAACCTTCTACATGTCCAGACAAACACTCTACCTGCAGCTTCCAGTACAACCTCACTGAACATGGCCTTGTTCAATGTAAGATCAATATCCAACAAAACCTTCATTTTAAATAATTTTATTCTGTCGGCAAAGTTCGATTTTATGTTTTTAACAGAAACTTGGTTGAGACCTACTGACTGTAGCCAGCTTGTTGAGATGCGTCCTCCACACTATGAATGTTTTAAGCAACACAGAGTCAGTGGTCGTAGTGGTGGCATAGTACGTGTTAACAGGAAGACTTTTGGCAGCTTTTTAGCAGAATTTTTTAGAGATTTTTAAATCCTCCCTTGTTTTAAATCATGACAGGGTAGTTCTCTGTGGTGATTTTAACTTTCATGTTGATGACCACCGCAGGGAGCTGACTTTTTAAGCATCACAACTTCTTCTAACTTCAAACAGCATCTGTGTGGACGAACCCATAACCGGGGACACACTCTGGACCTTGTTTTTACCCTGGGTATCATTTTATCCACCTTTACTGGATTTTAATGCCCTGGATCACAAATGTATTGTTTTTAACAGTGAATGTCCAGTTTTTAGTACAGCGAGACCACGCTACTGGAGCATTTTTAACAAAAACAGCACAGCAGAGGTCTGCACACATTTTAATAGTAACTGCCGACCAATAACCAAAAATAGTGTCCACACAGTTTGTAGCAGCACTGGAGGATAACCGTGTCTTTGAAAAATTCCAATCCAAAATTCAGAAGTACCACAGCACTGAATCGGCCCTGCTCAAGGTGACCAATGATCTTTTAATGGCAGCAGATGATGGTATGTGCTCCATCTTGGTACTTCTGGACCTCAGTGCTGCATTTGACACAGTTGATCACACATCTTTTAATCAGACTGAGGCACTGGGTGGGGATTTCAGGTACAGTATTAGAGTGGTTTGTTGTTTTTTTAATCTTACCTTACTAATAGAAGGTTTTGTGTTGCAGCAAACAACCACAGGTCGTCATTTTATCCAGTTATCCAGCCTTTTTACATGTCTTAATCGGAAATCCCTACACAGATTACAGACAGTGCAGAACTCTGCTACCAGGCTTTTAACTAGGAAGAGGAAACATGAGCACATCACGCCTCTTTTAGCTCTTTTACATTGGCTGCCTGTACGTTTTAGGATTGAGTTCAAGATTGTATTAATGACTTTTAAAGCAATCAACGGTCTCTGTCCTATTTACATTGTCGACCTTTTAACACTGTAGTTTCCACCATGCTCTTTACGATGCTCGGGCAGAGGTCTTTTAACTGTCCCAGAGGCCTGGCTGAAAACAAAGGGGGACAAAGCATTTTCAGTCCGGGCGCCGATGCTCTGGAACAACCTGCCCGAGGACATCAGGTCAGCTGATTCTGTGCTCTCTTTTAAGTCACTTCTTAAAGCACATTTTTGTCAGAGAGCTTTTCCTGATTTTATCTAAGTTTTAAGTTTTATAGCTTCTTGCTCTATTTGTGCGGCTTCTAGTTTTATCAATTATTCTGTGCTCTTATTGTATTTTAATTTTTCATTTATTTTTTATTGGAAAGCACTTTGTAACATTTGTTTTGAAAAGTGCTCTATAAATAAAGTTTATTATATTATTATTATATACACTTAGAGATAGCTCAACCAAGCTCAACCAACACTCACACTCACACCTACAGACAATTTAGAATCACCAATTAACCTCAACATGCTTTTGGATGGTGGGAGGAAGCTGGAGAACCCGGAGAGAACCCACTTTACATGGGGAGAACATGCAAAATCGACGCAGAAAGATCCCAGGCATCCTAACCGAGACGCGAACGGGGAATCTTCTAGCTGCAAGCCCTGCAGCCCCAGTGCAAAACAAGAGAACTGAATTTATAAATTAAGGAATATTCACCATTTTTATTGTAATTTCATTTTTCATTTCATATCCATATATGTATATTCAGCTTTGGTGTCTAAAAATAGTATATATTTTTAGTGTTATAGTTATTATCATTAAAATGGTGTGCAGACATCGACTTACTGCTGTCCGTCAGGTGTGTCAGTGCAGCAGTGTGCCTGATGTACATATGTACTGGCATGGGACCAATAATCACAACATGTTGTCAATGCAGTGATAATATGTAGATAATATATAAGGAATAAAAGCAGCAAGATGAGTGTACACAACAGCAAACTCCAACAAATATGATTACCTGAAGAAACTTACTAAAGCAGGGGTTCTCAACTGGTCTCACCCTGGGACCCACATTTTCCCATGGTCATTAAGTCGCGACCCAATTTTTTTTAGAATTCAACATTCAATATATTTTCCTGTGCAACATGCATTTGAGAGCATATAACCATGCATAGTAACTGGACCATGATAACTGCACTGAGGGGCACTGAGCTTTCAGTCCGACCGATGGTCACAGCGCTGTATCGGTGGTAGCGGCGGCTCTGAGATCAAAATTGATATCCCAATTCCAGCACAGCGAACGAATAGTTGGCTATTAGGCTATTCGGGTCCAGCCCTAGTATGAAAACCCACATTTTAAATACTCCGGGTCATATTTGCGCTTTGCCATCTTGCATCCCAACATCAACACAAACTTAAAATGAATGTCAAACAAACTATGGTTACCATGCCTGTCAAAATAAAAGTTTTTTCCAAATAAAATTTAAGTTCAACCTGAGACGCACATTATATATTATTTATTTTTGACCAGCTGTCCGCGACCCACCCAGAACAGGTCCGTCGCGACCCACCAGTTGAGAACCCCTGTACTAAAGGACATGTAATAAATAAATAAAATGTAACATGTTACTCACCAATTATAACTAATAATACTACTACTAATAATTATTATTATATTATAATAACACTAATACTACCACTACCGCTAGTACTGCTACTTGTTGGTGACATGCTTTGTTATTGTTTTGACATTCTCAGTATCCCTCAGATCAGTAATAAACACTGTAGTTGTGCATTTCCCTCGACTGTATTTGAATGTACTTGACTATTTCACAATGTTTTGGATTTATTAATGTAGTTTTAAAAGGACAGGTATACTCAGCCGTTTTAAATACATGAACTAATTCTAACTGGAGGCAGAACCATAGATAGAGAACACAGATCGCTTTTCTAGTAATTTAATTGGCTACATAATTAAAACTATTGGAGACTGCATACAAACTGATTCATGGATCTGAAAACATATCAGATCTAACAGGAATGAGTGTTCCTTGAACATCCGGCACAGACTGAAAGTTGCTGGAAACAGTCGAAATTGACAATCAACTTTTAACTCCACCACCTGCTCTCGTTCATTTGCAAGCAAGGAGCAGTGAATCTTAAATAAACCTACTATATCCCCTGCAGTGTGTGACTTCCTATTTGGGTGGTAAAAAGCAAGCTGGGAACAATGATTGAAGGCTTAGCTATCCTACAGTGACATCTAGAGGTGATAATGAACTACTGCTTATTATGTCTAAGAAAGGCCGCTGCAAAAATGATTTTGTTAAAATTAAACTACAAAACTGGAAGAAGCAATTGTGCTGCAACGTGTCATTTGTGCGTGCCTGCTCACCTCTGCTGCAGTGTCTCCTGAACTCGCCTGCTGCTCCACTTGCCCCTCCAGTTCAGCCACCCTGCTTTCCAGCTTCGCTCTGACAGCTACTCCCTGCTGCTCCAAGGCTGCATACTTAAAGAAAGGAACAAACCATGATGAGACATCAATCTGTTTAGAACATCACATTGTAGGGAGTCAAAGTCAAAGTGCTCATAGTGTAAATCAAAGACTTTTAGGGTAAAAAAACAGAGTTAGGTTAGGAAATGTTTGGGTTTATGTTAAGGTTAGGGCACGGTTTAGCCCTGTCCATACTCTATGCCTTCATAGTATGGTTTGGGTCAATTTTAACCTCAGCCAGAAATTCCCTCATAACAAGCATCTTTACCAAACTCTGAACTACAGATCTATTTAGAATGTATAAACAGCCTGTCAGACAATAATACATTGATGAGTTAATCCTTACCTAACATTTCAGAGAGCAGGCAGAGTTTATTTTTCAGAATTTATACCACTAATTTTTGGGGAAAAATGATCTACTATCACACAATATCATGTCCTACTTAACCTATATTTTATTGAAACTGAAAATGGCATGGGGAGTAATCATTTTTGTGATTCCTGGAGTCATTTCAATGACAGTTTCTGCCGCCATCCTGCCTGTAATGTGATTTGGCAGTGAGGGTCAGCGGGTTGTGTTGTTTTTTGGCATAAATGTCTCCCTTGCTGCCTGCTCCACATCCTGACACACCTTTCGCCAGATCACTTTCTGCTTTAGAAATCAGGATCAGATCAATGAGCCTGTTGCACTATGTCTTGCTGCCATAACCTTAGTCACTAAAATGGCAGCTCAGGTACATATATAATCTTAAGGCACCCCAACTCCTCTTTCATTCTCTGTTTTGATCATAGTTAGCTTGGAATTAATGGATTGTAATTTCTTAATTTTTAACGGTATTTAGTTATATTGCAGGTGCAGATCTTGTCACCGTGTCAATCCACTGTTAGGCCTCTGTATGGCTTCTATTTCTTTTGTGCAACATATGTGACAATTACGAAGCGGGTTTTACTTTTTCAAGGTTTGGAGAGCGCGGTAGAGTTGAAAGCACAAACATAAAAAGCAATAGTTTCTTTGAGAAATACAACAGTGGTTGTGTATGTAAATGTAATGTCTTTACACTGTAAAGTCACAACCCTGACAAAATTCAGTCCCTGCTAATGATGACCATTTATTCTAATTAGACTGAACACCCATCTTACCTTTTCCTGAAGGGCTTGCAGCTCTTCACTCTCCCTGCAATGTTGTAGGACACTCTGTTCTTCTGAATCTCGTGACTGCTTGAGAACTGTAAGCTGTTGACAGTGAGAGAAGCCAAAAGCACAGAAATCACACATCATGTTTTTAAACTTGCATCACAATATTTAACCATTGTCCTTCCAAATACAGTGATTGGAATTTTGTTTCTTTAAAAAAAGAATTAAAAAACAAAATAAATCTTTTTTGCCTTTATGTGATAGGGACAATTGGAGGCAGACAGAAATGGCATGCTATAAAGGTTTAGGGGCTGGCATGATGCTGTGGTAAGAAGCAAGCCTTACCACATGGCCTTTTGCCTAATCAGAAGAGCTACTGGTGTACTTTGGCACTTTTGTAAAACTTTTAAAAAAGCATAGTCAAAATAGATCCAGAAACAGAATAGAATTAGAAAAAAAGTGTAGTAAGATACAAGAAAATAATTCATTGTTTTTTAGCACCACCTGGGCTTTTTACACATGTAGGATGATTTAGTTTCATAAAATGTGTAGCTAAAAAAGTGAACAAAAGAAGTAAACAAAAAAAGTATTAAGTGAATGTATTCAAAGTTAAAGAAACTTTAGAGGGTTAAAAAAATAAATAACCCTGAGAGAAACTTTGGGATGAAACTTCAAAGACTTGTTTAGGCTAGCTTGTCTACCTTCTCCTGTAATTGAGCTAGCTTGTCCTGTAGGTCATCTCTTTGCTCTGTAAGTTCAGCCAGCTCTCCTCTGTGCTGCTCTTTAGCTGAAGCCAACATATGATCACACTTCCTTTTCCACTCCTCGTCTAGCTCCACCTGAAGCTGAGACAACTGCAAAACATAAAAAATGCCATTAGCGGTCCAAGGTTAAGTGATAGGTATAGCTTCTTAAGAAAAACATTTCCATAAAACGTCTTATTAGCTAATTTGGAAGATGTTTAAGGGAGTTCAGAGAGTATAATTCACCACTGTATTACAAGTCAACAAATCACTCTGCTCAATAGGCCTTTCACTGGATGCTACCTGTTCAGATACAGCGCTGTCACTGCTGCTCCTGGCCTTGCGAAGTTGAGCTCGGAGGTTGTCTAGCTCCTGCTGGCTGCTCTTGCGGAGCTCCTCCACCTCCTCATCCCGACGCTGACGCTCTGCCTGCCATTTCGCCTTCCTTTCTGAAAGTGCCTAAATGTGAGGGAGCCAACAGCTTGTCAGAATATACATTTTTATATTTAATTTTCTATTTAAAATAACATAAGATAAAATGAAGTTTATTGATCCCTCACCAGGGAAATGTACATGTTTCAGCAGCTAGATACAAATGAGGCATGGAAGAAGCAATAACAAAGGACACAAGGTGTGTAGAATTACTTTTATACAGAATAGCAATGCTACATTTCTGTTATTGCAGTCAAAAAGTTCTTGAGAGACAAGACCAGTGTTTACATGATGTCATTGCACATGAAGAGCTGCAAGAGAACAGTGTTACATTTGGTTGGTGATCTGGAAGAGCTGTAAAGAGAAAAGAGAAATGTAGTGTTTACATGAATTTGTTGCACTTACGGCTGCAAGAAGAAAAGCAGGGTTAAAGAGATGTGGTTGTACTGGAAGAGCTATAATGAAAAGAAACTGTGTTAAATGATGCTGCTGCACTGGAGGAGCTATATGACAGAAAACTGTTTTTAAAATGTTGTATTAGAAGTCCTACTGCATAAAAAACAGTGTGAAATATGTTAATGCATTGGATGTGCTATGAAGAGACAAAATACATGATGAAGACTGTTGTACCTGAAGGCTTGTGAAGAGCAAACCTGTGTTACAATTTGTTATTGCACAAGAGAGTAGTTGCACATAAGTAGAAGTGTTATGTCATAGACATGTTAAATAATCTGACTGCAGAACCTCTCCCTGATTTTTTTTCTAAATCTGAAAAATTATCAGCATTTATTTTCATCTATTTTCATAACCTTCATAAAGAATGATAGCCCTGTCTCCTTTCACTGTCACAATAACACAAATATGACATATACTCACTCGTTCCAGGCTCTCTTTATCAGTCTTCAGATCCTGCAGCTCTTCCTCCATGGTGTTGACTTTCAGCTCCATCTCTTTGCGTCTTTGTTTCTCTGAGCGATACTGAGCCTGGACCCTCTCTGCTACTTCTTTCAGCTCTGAAAGAAATAAACCGCCACATTCTTCAAGAAAACCTAAAATCATTAGCAGAAGGTTGGGCCTTGGATGCAGCTGGGTGTTCCAACAAGACAATGACCCCAAATACACATCAAAAATGGTGAAGAAATGGTCTCAAAGTCCTAATTTATCCCATCCTGTGGACTGTGTTGAAAAAACAAGTCTGTGTCAGAAGGCCAACAAATTTAGTTTAACTGCACCAATCCTGTCAAGAGGTGTGTTGAAAGATACAACCAGAAGCTTATCAGAGGTTTTTGGAAGGCTACCAAAAGCGCCTAGTTGACATGAAAATGAACAAGGGATAATTATTGACATATTAGCGTTAGGGTTAACCCTAACATTTATGGTACATTTGGTGACTGTAGTTTGTATTGCTGTTGATTTGTATTTCATTTTATTGAGAGATATTGCAGATATTTTGTCCACCGCCTCATTTCAGTGAAGGCAGACTTCACTAATAATGCATTACAGGCTAAAGCCTTCAGTATGACTGCAACACTTAATACGTCCCCAAAGCTGAACAATATGGCCTTGAGGAAGGTAGGATTTATTGCAGAACTAGACTTGATTGCACTTTTGCTAGTCTGGTGTACTTCACTATCTGGAAATTGAGCGCATAAACAAGCCATTTTAGGTGGGCCTAATAATGTTTTGGGGGTTTTTTGGTAATTTTTCTAACCAGTAAAAGCTCCATCAAAACACACCTTCCAGTTGTGTTTCCAGGGCAGCAATATGTTGGCAGTGACGCTCATTGTCCTGCAGAGCCAAGCCCAGTTTATTCTGTAGCTCCATGGTCTTCTGCTGGTGAGCTGAAGCTTCCAGCTGCAGTTGAGACACCCGTGCTGCCGATGAAGCCAGGTCCTCTGTCAGACGAACCTGAAAGAGATGTAGGGAGACAGCAGGAAGGTGAAAGGAGGGGCACTGGTAGCTATCCACAGCAAAGTATAAACCCCAGGTCACACAGACAGTGAAACAATATAGTGACAAGCCTGGATGACTGGCCACATCATGCTAGTGGTGTGAGCAAAATGTCTCTGTGGGGAAAAAACTGGTGAGTGCTGAATGATGGAAAAGGAGGCAGAAGGAAAAAAAGAAGAAAAAAAGTTAGTTAAAATGCCAGTGAAGTATGACTTAGAGAGGATGATCCAGTGGCAGCAGTCAGACTGGGATCAAATAGTTGTTGTGTGCAAACTAGATTGTCAGTCCCACCTGATCCACCATGAAATTGATATCATTTGCCAAGACTGACAGAATGTACTGTCCAGTGACTTGATCCTGTCAAGGATATATCTGTTGTGTCTATCTAAATGACCATTACAAAATAATTGTTGTTCTCCCTGAGTTAAAACTGTCAATGGCCAATTTCATGGTTCCCTTTCTAATTTTCCCTCTTGTTTTGCAGATACTAGTTGACCCAGTCTGGTTGCAGCACACAGAGAAAACAGGCTCACCTGGCCGGAGCCTAGGTCCACAGGCAGTGCATGCTGAGAAGGGAGAGCAGTAAATACAAGAGTTCCCTCAGAGTAGGAAGCAATGCAAATAACCAGGCAGAGAGCACTTGTCAAAGATGGGAATCAACAGACAACAAATCATTAACTAAATGCCAAAATAATTTCCACTGACTATAGGAATTATAAAGTGTACTACAATGTATCCTGGTGAAAATGTGTAATTTAGATTGTATAGAAGACAAGAAGTGATGCATGAAACCCTTATCTACTAATCTAATGCAGTCTAATACTAAACAAAGTGTATTACTGTTCAGTTCGGTCCTTTTGTCAATTGTCAATGTCCATTGAAAACCAAGTACCTCTAAAACATCAAAATCACAACAATGACAATCTTTCACTCTAAACTTTTTAATGTCTGAGCCTAAATATTTTCTTTTCTTTTTTTCTCTCTATTTTCTGAAGTTTGAATAAAGGTTTCAAGAATATAATTATATATAATCATGAGATTGATAAATTCATGGTTTTCACTAAGATGTGTTAAAGCAGAAGCTGTTATTAAGACATGTTTGCTGACTGTATCACCACTGCCACTATCAATAAAAGGCATCAGAGCCCAAAACAAATTGTAGGACCTTTTCAGAGGGCTGTACTAAAAAGTGAAATTAGTGGGTTATCGATGTATGTTGAGCTTAAAGTCAGAGTTTTCAGTATCACAAAGGTGGCTCTCTTTTTATCTGGTTAGATCTCCATGGTAACTTATGCTGTGGAGCTAACCTGGTCGTGAGCAGGTTATGTTCGGAGTTTCGGATTTTAATTGGCTGGAAAGAGTGTCTCCCTTTAACCAGATCGTTTACGGACTATCATTTATGAGCGATACAGATTCTCAGCTGACGGAATTTGTTATATCTGCAAACATGCTGAGTTGTGCGCTACTAATATCACTGAATGAAGTTGTGTAGTTACAGTATCGCCCACTGTAAATATCACATTGCCATGGGAACCAGATATGTATTCAGTTGACGATGCAGAAATTACAAAAACATGTTTTTATGTTTGGCTCTGATTTGCTGTCAAGTCTGTTTACACTGCTGGTGCTGCAGCTGATAGAACACATTAGAACATGGATTATTCTACTGGTATTTATTGCAGAGAAAATTCAATCAATAACATTATTTTCGCTTTGATTTGGACAAAAATTGAAGTGACATCCTGCATTATGGGACAGTGTCAGACCTAAATGCACTTCAATACAAGATCATGTTTAAATGTATGAAGTTTAACTTTAACATGCAGCTGTCAGTTGGAAATTAGCGGTTGCATCTGTAAAATATTATATATTAACATATTTAACAGTTTTCTGCCAGCGTTTCTGTCTTGCACCATTTGCAGTAGCAGCGCTTTTTACCGTCATATTTTTTTATACTCCTCATTGTTCTCTATTAAAACGTCTTGACTGAAGCAGCTGCAGACGGTCGTTTACTTTTGTGCAGAAGAAGAGTCACATGACGCATTAAACGCTCCTTTTTATGTGAACAGAGCCTGAAGCAGAAAGTCTGAGTTGACAAAGAAAGTTGATAACCCCCTTTGTAATACCTGTAATCTCTGGCTGGGGCTTTTGTTTTTGTCGAGCCGGCTTACACAAAGAAAGCCTGGGTATGTTTAACTTGTTTCATAGTCTACCACTCTGGTCTACTTTGTTGTTTGTTTGTTTGTTTACACGTTTATATATGCAATGCAAAAAGGAAGACAAATAGTGAGGAGATTCTTTAACAAGAGAACATAATGCTGGAAAAAAGGTAGGTTTAGGGTCAGGCATGGGTGAACACTCACTAGGTATCATTTTGTGAATTCCAAAGTCTGAGTCACAAAAAAATACTGACAAATCTATGAAATCTTAACTTCATTTAGCTCTGACACAAAGCACCATTTTCAGACTACCAGTGCAGCTTTACAGGACAGTACTATCATGTTGTCACAATACACAATCGATCTACAGCTTCATTTGTTCCCTTTTTCACCATTAAAGACCAACACTCACCTTGTCCTGCTCAGCCTGCAGGAGTCGTGCCTGGTTCTGGTCACTGGATGACTTGAGGGAGTCATTTCTCTGCTCCAGCAGCAGGTGACTCTGCTCTATGTACCTGGAAAATGACAACAACCACATTTAGACTAAAAGTTTCCCTCATACATAATCAAAACTAAATCAGTCTGTTTGGTTAAGATCACAATGAAATTAGAGTGTGAAGGAAATATGGACAACTGAAAAATGGTCAATTCTTCTTAAACTACACTTCTGTGGAAAAGCTTTAGGCACAATTTTTTTTACAGACTTTCCAGACAGAGAGACACAGATACACACACACACAAAAAAACATTGGAACCCAAACTAGGAGTGTGGGGATGATGATGATGATGATGATATTTCTCCCCTGCATCTTTGTTGTACCTTGTCAATCTCTAGTTGTGCTTGCAGTTTACAGTTATGGACACTGAAACACTAAGCTTGAAGTTGTTTCTCAGCTGGCTTAGATGTAGGGGTTTGACGTATCGATAGATCTCACATTCTCTGCATATATCCCCTATTACTGGGATAGTAGCATTCCAATAGTTCCATATTCTCTGCCCTAGTCCATGAATGTCTTGTTCCAGTAGCCCACATCTCATCAGGTTGCCTTGGTGATGTGGATCTTGCTGACATGGGCAGCATCTGAATCATTAAGGCTCATATATATATATTATACCGCTCATCTTTGACAGCTTTAAAGACTTTGCTTAAAGGGCTCCCACTGGGTGAACAATGCTGGGATGGAAAACAAACAAAATACACTGTATATACCTAATCTTTAAAGAGGTGGTGGGGCAGCATTCAAGTGTTTGCATGCAAAAGGGCCCAGAGCCTACACCAGGGGTAAATTGTTGAAACACTGTTTAGCTCAACTGAGTGGGATTTTCTTTTCCCTCTTTCAACGCTCAGTATGGTTAAATGTGGGAAACCTCAGTTGTGGTCCGGCTTCACCAAGGTACCTCATCCATTCTCCACTAATGACTACAGGCCCATTTCCCTGTCCATACTGGTGGTTAGCTCATGTAAGAGGATTAAAAATCCAAAATTTCAAGTCATGTAGTCATAGACCCACTGTAGTGTGCTTATTGCTCTGCAAGAGGGGCAGATGATCCCACTAAAAAGTAAAACTTTCAATCTATGCATCTGGAAGGTTGTAAAATACATGCACCAGTCCTCCTTGCAGAATTCTCCTCTCTGATAAATATGATTTAACCCACTAAACCTGGCTGACATACTGAAAGAGAGGGGTTCAAAACTGATCAAATAGATTTTGGTTTTCTTCATGGGCAGATTGCAAAAGGGAAGAAAAGGGCACGCCATCAGGTGCATTTTCTCTCTAACAGCATATCCCACAGCAGTGTGCTGCTACCTTTGCTAAGTGTTCGATACACAGATGGTTGTTTTAACAGATATCTTGGACAAAATAGTATTCAACTTGTGGATGGCACAGCCTTGATCAACTTTTTGGAGCAGGATAAAGACAAAACAGTTTAGTTATGAATAATTTAAAAATAAATAAATAAATGAATGAATAATTTCTTCAGGTGGTGCAGCTACTTCCTTCCAGTCAGAGGCAAAGATACCTAAATATCAGAAACCAAACACTCATTTATTCCAAAGGTACTATACCAGTTAAAACTGGTAGCCATGGGGAGTTTGGGGTAATACAAAGAGTAGGGGATGTGGAATACAATGGACTAGTGGATGTGAACATACATGAATTTGGGAACTAACACACACCTCCCTGTTGGTATTCATGGCATCATGAATAAGAATCAAAATATCTGAAGTGGTCACCATTTTAGGCTTCCCCCCCAGTTGTGCCTACTTGGCATTTTTGGACTTGCCTTTGGTTCTGGTTGATGAGATCCCCAATTTTATGGTTTTGCTCCTCAATACGAGAGCTTTTCTCAAAGACTTCCTTTTTCAAACATTCATTTTCCTAAAAACAAAAAAAAGAGTTTTCAGAACAATTCTTGATGATATACAATATCCACGCTTTGAAAAGAGCTGAGAAAAAGACAACAAAGCGGCCACAAGGCAGTGTTCTGATGTGTACCTGGACAATTCTTTGGATATTGTGCATGATCATTGAGGTTTCCATCGACATACTAGACACACCCATACAAAGACTTCCCTGCCTTTGAAGGTCATCAATCTGTTAGTAAAGAAAGAAAATAATGAGATGTACCCATTTTCTGCTGAAACCGTTTAAGGAACACAGTCTTTTACAATTTGAATTGTCCCTAGGTGATAAATAAAGTTATCTGAATTGAATTGAACTGAACTGAATTGAATTGAATTGAATTGATTTGACATTACATAGCAAATGTACCTTTGAGGACAACTGATCCACTTTATCTGCTACTTTTCCAACAGACAACCGGATCTCTGTGTTGTGCTGTCGGGCCTCAGTCATCAAAAAGGAAGTCACATCCCCAGAGCCTGAACAAAACAAATCAGTCACAATAAAGTTATGTAATTTGTAATCATTTCACAACTTAAATTAATCCATGTATTTCAATTACCATTTGATTGAGGATGCACTATGAAATGGTAAATTGGACCGAGATATTCAAGGTAATTCAGTCTCAAAGTGTACAGTTCACTAACAAGCTCCACAACATTTGTTATTGCACTCAACACCCCATATAAACCTCAGATTTGATTTGGTTTCCTTGTAGGTCAACTCAGCAGTCTTACCCATGTAGGGGACAGTTTGTGCAGGATAGACCTGGCCAACAGGCTGTAGCTGAGATGGAGTCGCAGAGGTCTGTGTGTAGGAGTAAGGCTATGAAACAACATAATACACTGATATCAAGCGATATTACCAGGTTTGCCTTTATTCCATGTACTTACTGATAAAAAGCTATTACAAAAGGTGGTGAAATCGCACCTGAAAGGCATGGCTGCTGCCTGGAAGGCCAGGCTGTGAACCAACAGTGGTCATAACTGGAAGTAAGGCAGACATCGAACCAGTGTGGGGATGAGGGTGTACTGCAGGACAAACAATGCAATTTAACAGATAATTCCAAACTGCAGGAAAAATGATTATACGAGCAGGGTGGGGTAGGTTACCATATGCAGAAGTTGGAGCAGCAGAGGTGATTTGCACTGGAGATGAGGCTACAGTCGGATCCTTGGCTCTGCTGCCACTGGTGTCCTGGAGATAAATGCGCAGCAATGTAATTCAGTAATAACATCAGAAATCCTTTTTAAAAGGGGCACTCAAGAAGTTTTGTACTGCATTTCTATGTGAAAAAGACAATTTCAAAAGAAGACTCGTCAGAAATAGTTGAAGCAGAGGCCCTGACATACAAAAGTATGGGTCAAGCTCCAAAAACAGCAGGTTTGTTATATTAAATTCAAGACAATCACATGTAACATAGTCACAACTTAACACACAGCTGAACATTAGCTGTAAAACCTCTACCTCCTTATTATTTACAAGGTGTGTCAGAAAAGTTTCAGGACTGGTGTCACAAAGGATATATTTCAAATACAATGCCACAACTCTCGCCTCTTCTCGCTCACTGAACGAAGCAAACGGATCTCTTTGTAGACGTGCTGGTTGATCGTCTGAAGGGGAAAACTTGTAGTTCGTAGTTTGGATTTGAAATATATCTTTTGTGACACCAGTACTGGAACTTTTCTGACACACCTCCTATAACATTGTGACTTTTTTTCAAAATGATTTGTTGTTTTAAAATAATGTTCATATAATGTTATAATGTCTTTTTGTTCGCACACAGCCTTGAGGAACAGTCACTTTGCATCACTATCCATACTATACGTTCATGTGGCAAATAAAACTCTTGAGTCTTGATTAAAACTACATGAAAGTTATGTATGAACATGGAAGGTTATTGCAGCACTAAAAAGTGGTATTAAGGAAGTCAAAACAGCTACAACAGGATGAGGATAATTAAATTTACCATGTCTACATGTCTAAATGCATTGAGTTGCTGCCATGTGATTGGCTGATCAGATATTTGTGTTAACAAGCAGATGAACAGGTGTGCCTAATGACGTGACCGCTGAATGTATACCTGTGTTTAACTGCAAAATAACAAAATAAAGTATTTTGACCATGTATGCAAATTGGCAATAAAATACATGTGAATTAAATTTTTTTTAAATTTGGGAAAAAATCCTAATAAATGTGTTATGTTTGAAATTTACCTATGTACAAAATGGTTAACTGAGATTGATTTGTCATTTAAGCAGCTCCTTAGCTGAAACCTTAATGCTTTAGAAGCAGGTTTTGCTTTAAATAAAGCCGAGCAGTAAATCTGAGACAGTTCCATATTACAACACATATTTATGTCATTTGGAAAACAATTACATCTTTCTTGTTGACAATGGAAACAACATGGAATATTGTCATAAGAAACTGACCTCGAGCTCAGAGTCACTAGATTCGGGCTGGCTGGCCACTTCTGTCATAAAAGGCAACATGGGTTGACCCATCTTGGCCATGCGGGAAATTAGCTTGGCTTTAGTGGCATCTGGATTCTGAAGTTTACAAAAGAGAAAAGATCATCTTATACTAACACACCTCCAAAGCAAATTAATACAATATATATATTTTTAAATGCCAATGCAGGTGCTTACAGCCAGCTGTTCACTTAGAGAGCTCGACTTTGCACGCAGTGGTGGTTCCCTGGAAAAGAAAAGAAAAGAAAAGAAAAAATCAGCTTAAAGTGACAAAGGAGTTAAAGAAAGCTTAAGAGCTTAAATCTCACCCTGGTCTGCCTGGACCTGAGGCAGTTGCCTGAACCGGAGGCTCTGGGACTGGAGTTTGCACACTGGTAGCTGCAGATGGAGCAGGAGAGGGAGCAGCAGAGTCTCCTGAGTTGGCACTGGCCCGATCAGAGCCACTGTCTTTGGAAAACTTCACCTAAGCATAAAACAAGCACAATAAGCTTCTCTTCACACTTCAGCAAAATTACAAACAGCCAAGGGAAAAGACAAAACACCAGAAACACCAGCTACTTCAACAGAGACATTCTAGCATATCTGTGTCATTAGAATGATGAGGTTTATTATAAAAGGTGAAGGGAAATCTGTCCAGTTGGCATTACCCTTCGAAGCTCTGCTTCAAAGATAAGTGTGCTGTTAGATGGAACACGATTCGGGACTCCCTTGGTTCCGTAAGCAAGATTGGGTGGGATGACAATGAAGCGAGAGCCTTCCTTCTTCATACCCAACATCCCGTCCTCCCAACCCTGCTCACACAGACAAGGACAGGAAGAGGAATAATGTGATATTAACACAATAATATGAAAACAATGGACATGATGCAGTCACAGTTTTAGTTGGTCATTTAAAGTTACACTAGTCCTTTTCAATACCCATGTTGCCTTGTTAGTAGAAGTTTGATAAGAAAGCCAAGGTATATGAACTGATTAGATCACGTGCTTGCTTTTGTATCAGTTCGACTCACCTTTTAAAATTTTGAAGGCAAATTCTTTTGTGAGAGTAGATAACGTCTGGCAACACTGAATCATGATGCGCAAATCTTCCGGAAAATGCTCCTGTACTGAATTCAGGTGTATTTATTCCCCCAAAAGAGAGACTTTTCAATTTGTGTTTTATTGTTATTTAGTTTGTTTGTTTTTTTTTTTCTCTTTGTTTGTTTGTTTTTCCAGAGTTTCGGTCTCTTCATATCCTTTTTCTTCTGTACATTATGAAATCATCTGGAAGTCAACAATGTCACATATGCCTTGATGGAGCATGTCATCAGGTTTGTGTTATATTAAAATAAGCCCAATCACGTGTAACATAATAACAACTTAATGTCACATTACATTAAAACCACATAAGGTTATTCATGAACATGGAAGGTTGTTGCAGCACTACAAAGTGATAAAGAGGAAGTTAGAACAGCTATAATAGAATGAAGAACAATAAAAATATAAAAATAGACACTCCCAGTCACAAACTACTGTTCCTGTTTTTGTCCAATGTAGAGTACTGACATTGTAGTTTATTTACACGGAAATTAAAAGTAAACAAGTTTAAAGGTACTGCAGAATAAGGACTGTAGATATCCAGTAGATTTAATATGAGACCACAACATGGGATTTTGGATGTTATGATACTGTCATTTAATGTGGCTGAAGTCAGTATTTTTTTGTCTGTTTGGACATCATATCTGCTTTGATCTTGCTTTTCCTCTAAAGGCGCCAAGATGTCAAAACCAAGCAGCTTGACATTATATAGAACGCAGTTTCTTACATTAAACATGTATTTTATTATAGTGGCAATGAAACATATGGGATATTGTATCACCAGAGACAACATGTTTGAATGAGGGTCTTTTCATTGCGAAAGTACAACGTTTTAAAATATTTTTAAATGCAAACATCATGCATCACTCACACAAAAAATATGCATATAAGCACAAAATGGCAGAATGAAACAGATTTTGTTCTCATTTCCATTCATTTAATGCATGAAAATAAATGAGTCAATTAGAATATATTTTTTAAAAAAAATAATAATATTCACTGTATTGTAACCTACGTTGTGGGGACTGACTCAGACTGCTATACTGATTCCTCACAATATATATCGACTCACTTTGATCACTTTCCCAGCTCCAATTTTCAGTCGCAGCAACTTGTCTTTGTTCTGGTTCGAGTCAAACATCTGAAATAATATTTAACATTTAATACACTGTGTGCCATCATTGTCAGAAAATCCACATAACTGGAGACAAAGTGCTGAAATGTATGAAAATAACTCTGTGTGTGTGTGTGTGTGTG